GGTGGGAACGACTGTACAGCTGACGAGTGCTTCCCCGGTGCCGGCTGCCTCAGAGCTGCACAGGCGAGCAGACAGGAGGCCGCAGCGGGGAGAGAGGTTAGTAATGGTTGTACCGAGGACAGCTGATACGGAGTGTACTGGTGAGGCACTTTGGGGAATGCCATTTTTCCTCAGGACTGTTCTGGAAAACGGGAAGTATTTCTTAGACTTAAGCACATAGAAGTCAAGGAGGAGCCAGAACTTTTTTCTTTCTTCCTTTTTTTTTTTTTTTAAGACTCTATTTATTTATTTATTTTAATTTGACCAGAGAGGGACAGCGTGAGAGGGAGGAGGGAGACTGAGAAAGCAAACCTCCAGGTCCAGGACTCGAACCATGGTCAGCCATGTGGCAGTCCAGTGCCGTTAACCACCATGGCACCTGCCGACCCCCAGCAAGGAGGAGCTAGAATTTCAGCCTAGGCCAGTCCCATCTGGAGCTGACACCCTCAGCCATCCCTCCTACGGTGCTGTCCAGGGGTGTCCCCTCCCTGCCTGATGGCGGGATTTTCCTAACTTCTGTTTCCTCCTTCCACAGCGTGACGACGTCAGGGGTGATGGAGAGCGTGAAGAAGGTCAGGAAGGTGACCAATGGCTCTGTGGAGCCCCAGGGCGACCGGGAAGGCACCGTGTGATGGAGCCCGCGAGGACAGCGCCAGCAAAGCAGACTTTAGTTTATCCCTAGTCCTAGTGGTGAGCAGGAGCAGTTCCCCACGTGCCCTCTTGGCACCTCCCACAGCGACGCACAGACCCACAGGACTGGGGCGCCGCGGCCGGGTTTCATATTCTCTGATGGAAGCCGGATCCGAGGCTGGCTCAGGCAGCTAGAGTTTCCCTGCAGGTGGGACAGGGAGGGGTGGGAGAGGAGGCAAGGCGGGAAAAAGAAGAATTGGCTTTTTGGTGAAGGGTTCTGTTTCTAGTTGAGAGCTCTGAGGCACGTGCCCTGCCGTGTGGCATCAGGCTGCAGGAGGCCAGCCCTCTTCCGGTTTTAATTCTTGCATTCAGTGGCTGGCTCCACAGCGTGGCCTCTGTTCCAGTCAGGTGCCAGCAGACAGAGCAAGGCCTCCGCCCTGGGAGTCTGGACTGCAGAGGTGGCATGGCAACCGACAGCCTTGCTGCCCGGGCCCTGGCTGCGGAGTCCGGGCCTGATTCGCAGACGACAGCTTGTTCTCTGTCTACGTGGTCCAAGACTCAGGGCCCAGGAGGTCTCTTCAAAACAGTGGTTCTGTCCCATGACTCAGAAATGATCCACTGTGGGCTGCTCCCATGACTCCATGGTTAAAGGAGCTAGGTGCTACATGGTTTGAATCCCAGCCCTTGCCTTTTGAAAAACATGTCAGGCGCGTGCGTGTGGAGAAGGGTTGCACTGCGACTCTATTCCACTAGGGGGTGTTTTCTTCCTCTCCCTCTTCTCTCTGGTGAGCGCATGAGCTCTCAAGTAAATTTTTTTAAAAAGGAAAGGACTAGGGGCCAGCAGTACCATGCAGGTTAGGGTGCTGGATCCCGCATGCCTGGCTACATGGTTTGAGTTTCAGTGAGATAAAAACCACATTGGGGGAACCAGCAGTTAGCGTAATGGCTGTCACTGGACTCCCATGTAGTCGACCACGGTTCACGTCCCGGACCTGGTGGCTTAAACTCACGCCGGGCGCGTGTGCATGCGTGCCCAAGATCCCGAGAGGAGAATGGAGGAGAAGGGATTGTGGTGTGGCCGTCCCCCCTGGGGGGTGATTTCTCGCTTTCTGTCTTTCTGTCTCTCTGGTGAGTGCATACACCCTATAGCAAAAAGCTCTCAAAACAAAACAAAACAACCATATTGGGTGTTGGAGGTGGGGTGGGGGGATGTCCAGAGATGGGAGTGGAGGAGAAGAGATTGCAGCATGGCCATCCCCATGGGCGGTGACTTCTCGCCCGCTCTCTCTGTCTTTCTGGTGAGTGCACGGGCTCTACAGCAAAAACTAAACCCAGAAAGGCCGGCTCCATTGCGGCTGGCCGGTGTGAACGACTGCACAGCTGACGAGTGCTTTCCCCGTGCCGGCTGCCTCAGAGCTGCACAGGCGAGCAGACAGGAGGCCGCAGCGGGGAGAGAGGTTAGTAATGGTTGTACCGAGGACAGCTGATACGGAGTGTACTGGTGAGGCACTTTGGGGAATGCCATTTTTCCTCAGGACTGTTCTGGAAAACGGGAAGTATTTCTTAGACTTAAGCACATAGAAGTCAAGGAGGAGCCAGAACTTTTTTCTTTCTTCCTTTTTTTTTTTTTTTAAGACTCTATTTATTTATTTATTTTAATTTGACCAGAGAGGGACAGCGTGAGAGGGAGGAGGGAGACTGAGAAAGCAAACCTCCAGGTCCAGGACTCGAACCATGGTCAGCCATGTGGCAGTCCAGTGCCGTTAACCACCATGGCACCTGCCGACCCCCAGCAAGGAGGAGCTAGAATTTCAGCCTAGGCCAGTCCCATCTGGAGCTGACACCCTCAGCCATCCCTCCTACGGTGCTGTCCAGGGGTGTCCCCTCCCTGCCTGATGGCGGGATTTTCCTAACTTCTGTTTCCTCCTTCCACAGCGTGACGACGTCAGGGGTGATGGAGAGCGTGAAGAAGGTCAGGAAGGTGACCAATGGCTCTGTGGAGCCCCAGGGCGACCGGGAAGGCACCGTGTGATGGAGCCCGCGAGGACAGCGCCAGCAAAGCAGACTTTAGTTTATCCCTAGTCCTAGTGGTGAGCAGGAGCAGTTCCCCACGTGCCCTCTTGGCACCTCCCACAGCGACGCACAGACCCACAGGACTGGGGCGCCGCGGCCGGGTTTCATATTCTCTGATGGAAGCCGGATCCGAGGCTGGCTCAGGCAGCTAGAGTTTCCCTGCAGGTGGGACAGGGAGGGGTGGGAGAGGAGGCAAGGCGGGAAAAAGAAGAATTGGCTTTTTGGTGAAGGGTTCTGTTTCTAGTTGAGAGCTCTGAGGCACGTGCAGAGTGCCCCGGGGTGGCTGCTAGAAAGGCTTGGGTGGCTAGGGAGGGGGGTGTCAGCCACGGCGTCAGGAAAGGTCCCCTCCCCTGAGGATACAGGGGTAAAGAAGG